CACTCACACCTGGGCCAATTTCCCCAGAAACCAATTGACCCACCAGCATGTCTTTGGACTGTGGGAGGAAACTGGAGCACCCTGAGGAAACCGACACGCATGTGGGAACATGCAAACTCCACACAGACAGAACACAGGGCCCAGGCAGTGCGAGGCTAACCACTGTGCCACCGTGCTGCCCGGAGTCAGAAATGCCTGTTTGAAATCGGACACTTTCATGGGTAGGCACAGTTGGCAACCAGATATGACAACCAAACCGTCAGCACCAGTGTAGCCTCCTCAGAGTCTGCAACGGCACTGGACAGGAAGCAACGTACTAACCGTGAGACAGAGCGCTACCGGCTACTCCGCAACTCCTTCCTGAGCCAGCGAGTTCGTTACAGTTGACTCACAATGAATAATTTAAAGTAACATATCTCCTGCAAACGCCCACTTTTCACCGCATGAAGGAGTCGCTCTTTTCCTTTTGCATAATCACGTCTGAGCGTCTCTGGAAATAACCTTGAGGGGGTTTAGCGTGTGAGCTGTGGTTTAATATACGCTGCAACAGGTATCGCTGAAGTCACGAATAGTATTAATCTTACCCTGTAAGATCAGATCACTTTATTAACCCTATACAATTTCTTGCATTAGGAATTCGTCTTTTCGCATACCCCAACTTGCTCTCCATGAGACACACAGACAGGGAGAGAAGCTGGGGGTCAGAGCGCAGGGTCTGCCATTTATACGGCGCCCCTGGAGCACCTGGGGTTAAGGGCCTCTGCCAGGGGGATTCCTCTGCCGGCAGCAGGATTTGAACCAGCAACCTTCCAGCCACAGGCACAGATCCTGAGCCACAGAGCCACCGATTAAAACTCTTTCATGAGGGATTCCTCACATGTACAGAATGCCCCAGGTTATCCGTACAATCCGCGACATGGCGTTTTTAAGACGGGAGAGGAGGGACCCTCCCCTGAAATCTGAGTATTAGGTGAATTAATACACAATCAACACACACACACACGGGAACTGTTATTTGTAATCTAATCCCTTTACATAAATTACAGTTCAGAACAAAACCGGTCAGACGAGTTTATTTTCACTCCCCTGCAGCAAAAAAAAAAAACGAAAAAGAAATGGAAAGAAAAGCTTAAAATCTGCGATCCTGTGAATCCCTCTAATTCAACGGCACCGCTGAACGCTGAGGTGAAACTTAATTTGCGGGCGCAAGATAAATAACTGTAGTTCATCCACGCCGCCAGTCGTCAGTGTTTGCTGTAAGGGCCACATGCTCATTGGCTCGGAGGGGTTTTTTCTGATAACGCGGCTGTATCAGCAAGAGGGCGACTGCAGAGACAGCTGCCTGCCTGCCTCCCTCCCCGTCGCTGTGGTCGCGGCAGAGACGTCTCTGTCGCCTCGGAAGCTACACCGGCTCTTGAGATCCCCCCCCCCAGCACAGAAAGCCCGGACTGCGGAGACACGGGTGGATAAGGGCGTCACAAACATGCAAGGAGCCCACGAAGAGCACGACCCAAGCCGCTGAGAGGATGTCCCCCGCAGAGAGCTATCGCAGCGGCCAGCACGGTTCAAACGGTAAGAGGAGATCGCTGCTCCCGGCTCGGTGCGCGGCGCCCGGCTGCGCTGAGGCTAAGCAGGTGTAGAAGGGCTACTGGGGCAGGTAAAGGGCTGACCCCTTCCCCCTCCCCCCATAAACCCAAACAAGCTGGGCTTTTTATTGATCTGCGCTGTGCAGTCGGTGAAAATGCCCCTGCTGTTGCGCCCCCTGCTTGCTCTGTAGCCGGGCAGCGCCGGGGGTCTGACCGTCTCCACACCGGGGGGGAGTGGGCGGCTGTGCGGCTCGTATTTTCGTCGGAGACGGAGTAGCCAAGGGAGAAAAAAAAAAAACCATCGCGAATAACGGTTTTCTCTAGGGAATCACGGTCCTGCGTTTTCCGCCGCCGACAGGTGATCGAGCACTGTGGAAAAGCAGGAGAAACGCGGAGTTGTGCTCGGCAAGGACAGGATATTGACTTCATTATGCGAACGGTGCTCTGTAACATTGTTTACAATCATCAAAACTGCCATTTTCACTTCCACGGCGATGTCGGACAACAATAATGTCTAGAAAGCTCGCAAGAAGGCAACACGACGCTGATAAGCGTGGAACAGCGAAAGATATATAGGTCATATTTTTATTTTACAGACGCAGAAGAACACGAGTGTTTCGTCAACGTCGCAATAACTGGCTTATTAAAAGTCCAGTTGAGGCGGGGGGGTCCAGTTGTGGTCTCAAATCTGCAGGGCGGCGAAAGACGTACTGTCTAGCCTATTGGATGTGAGTGGAAATCTCACAGAATAAGATGTTGTTATAGGCATAGACGCGTTTCGCAGACCGGCGACAGCGCCGTCCATCACCGCTCCGCCCCTCACCTGCAGATGAGAGCGCACACGGCGTGAATTTCGGGCTTTCAGCGTTAAAAACAACAGCTGACAGGGCCCGGCCTCTCTCAGTCGTCTGCGTGAGATTTCTGGGGCTTTCTATGTAGTTGCCCCATTTACACTGCTGCCCTGCGTTAGCTTTCTAAAAAGGGGGGCGAGAGTCGAAATTCGGGGGGGTCGCCCAGCGATTTCTTCAAACCGGTCGGCGGAGTCCCGCCGTCTCTCCGCCGCCCGCTTGGCCGTGTCTGTCTTTACCAGGGTAAACAACCGTTAAACCTTTGTAGCTGTTGGGTTGTTGTTGTTCTTTTTTTTTTTGCCGCAGCGGCACCTGTTCTTGAATATTCGACCTCCAGAGCGATTTACCGGCGCGGACATGCTGTGCGCTTGGCTTCCAGGTGTCCTTAGGAAAGGGGAAGCGTGAAAGACAGACGTCCCTCACGGCGCCTTCAGGTGTCCGCACGTCCTAGCTAGACTGCAGCTGTACACAGGAGCAAGTAATAGGTTTATTCCATAGCTAATAGCTGTACACAGTACCATTCCTCTTTTTCTGCAACTCAAGAAACCTGGATGTTCAGGGGTGTGAGGTAAAATAATAATAAAAAAGGCTCTGCCTTCCAGCAAAATCCTGGCTGTCCTTGGCTCCAGGTTCCTCAAAGATTTTTCCTCCCTCTGAGCTGGCCAGAGGCATTTTGAGGAACCAGTTTCGTTTTTCTTCCTGGGGTGGTTGTGGCTGTTGGGCAAGCGTGCCCCGACTGTGTGAAAGGGTTTGATAATAAGCTGACATTCAAAAAATAAAACTAGAAATAAAAGCAGGAAGTGGCACGCTCCACAGAAATGAGGGCAGGGCTGGAAGTCCCCAGTCCCTCACCTTTTCAGTGAGCTGAATGGAGCCTTTATGTCCATTCCAGGAACAGCGACAGACCGTCCAGCTTTCTCCATCGAGAGCTGGTCAGAAACTGGAAGTGTCGTTAGGGAGCAGACAGGGGAGGCCCTGTGTTGTGGGGCTGTGAGCGCCGTGTCCAGGGTAGAGTTGTACCCCCACAATATAGCGGGGATCCCCAGCCCTGGTCTTGGGGAGCCCCAGACCAGCAGATACCGGTGTTCTAGGCCACCAGTAAAATGCCAGTTACTAAAGATCTCGGACTGTTTCACTGGGATCAGTTAAGCAGGCGGTTTGCTAAGCTAAGCAGTTTGAAGGATTGTTAAGATGTCTTCAACCCTCAAATCTCTTAATTACGATGCTGCCGGTCATTAAAAACGGGCTCAGTGGATTAGGGCTCTCCAGGCCCAGGCTGGGAGACCCCCAGATCTGTATGTACCCAGCAGGAGCAGACTGGGATCTAGCGGCGTTTGAATAGAGCAGAGGAGCTCTGGGGAGAGCGCATGTTGTCCTGCTGTGTGTGGTAGGGTTGTTCCAGCAGGGGTCAGAGGTCAGAGTGCGAAGGGGATGGATCTCCGCAGCAGTGCAGGATGGAGACTTTGAACTGAAACCGAACAGAGTGGGCTTTGGAGAACCCAAAACAGGATTCAGACTCGGGAGAAGTGGAAGTGCATTTAACACTGGACTCGGGCGGGGGGGAGGACCTCTTTACAAAGAGAGTGGTGGGAGTGTGGAACAAGCTACCCAGCCATGCTGTTGAAGCCGATACCCTGGCTTCTCTCGAGACACAGCTGGATGAGGATCTTCTGTCAAATTAGGAGCGGGTAACAGTTTATCCCAAGCTGAAAGGAAAAGAAAAGAGGCTCAAAATTTCGGCCGTGGAGCCTTCTTCAGGTGGGAAAACAAGATGCCGGCACACGTAGAGAAGGCTTCACAGCCGAAATGTTGAGCCTCTTTTCTTTTCCTTTCAGCATTGAGCAAATCTTTGCCTGTTTCCTTGCAGCTCCCTGCTCAGACTTCGTCCGATAAATTAGCTATTAAACTACAGTTGGGCTGCATGGCCTCCACTCTGAGTGAGGTAGAAGGGTCCTGTGACGGGTCAGGGACATGGTCCCACAAGTCCTGGTAGTAGAGTTGAAGAATTGAACAGGGAAGAGACAGCAATGGAGCTCAGCCTGCTGTAGGTGCCCCAATCCAGTATGGTTTACTGAAACACTGCGCTCACACACTCTGCGCTCCAGAGGAGCAGTGTGTGTCTCAGCCTCACTGAAACACTCCTGCGCTCAGACGGCCGTACTGCAGGTGCGCTCTGTACTCCTGGTGTTTACAGCAGAGGTGTTGCAGGCGATGGGGTTATATTTATCCAGCAGATCCACGCGGGCTCCTGCTGGCTCAGCTGAACTTGGCTCGCGCTCAGAATAGCTGCATCCCTTTCTCTGTGCTGCTCCAGCCCCCCTCTCTCTCCTTCATCTCCAGTCTGTGGCACTCTCTTCCTGCCTCTCTCTTCCCTCTGCTCCCTCCAGTCCTCCCCCCCGGCCTCCTCTCCTCCGCTGTCCCCTGTCCCTTTCTGCCTCTTCTCTTCTCTCTTTCTTCGTACCCCTCTTTCCTCCCTCCTCCTCCTCTCTGCCTCAGATCCTGCCTGTGGGCTCTCTGCTCCTCTGCCTGTTTCTCCCTCTCTCCTCTGCCCTGCTCTTGTGCTCAGAAACTAACCACAGGATCAGCCTGAATCCCCCCCCCCCCGGAATAGGAGAACCGATTTGTTCCAAACAAGCTCGGAATGGCTACAATATTGTGTTACACGATGACAAAGTGACAACTGACAAACCACATGGCAATAAATAGCTGGCGAATGATGTCCCAAGTGAATGATTGCTCAGAATGAGATTTTATTGACCTCTATTGAAGGTGGAATTATGGGCCGTCTAGCTAACGGTAAGCACTGAGGGTGAAGTTCTTCTTTGTGATTCAGAAGACAAAAGACAAAAAAAGAGGTGAAACGTGGGGTCCTGAGGTTCCTCGCTGAAGCTAAACGCCAGGGCAGGTGTTTCAGGAGGTGCTGAGTCACGATTTAGGTGGCAGTGTGAGAAAAGCCTCCTTTCTGAGAGAACACAGGAAGTGGGACAGGAAGTGGTTTGTAATGCGTCGCCACTGGTCTAAAATGGTCAATGATTGTAAATTCCGTCGAGCGCTCGAGCTCGCGTTCGCTTGCAGCGAAGTCGATGGTGTAGCTAAAGACGCTTGGCTGGTTTTTCACTGCGGCTGCACTGTTTGTGCTGTGTGGGGGAAAAAGAGAGAGAGAGAGAAAGGTCTTTTTACTCGTTTAGGCATGTTTTCTGCTCTGAATGTGTAGCGAGGTTGAAAAAGTATTGCTGGTTTCACGATAACGTACAGACGAATAAATCTCAGTGGTGCGCCTTTTCTTGAAGGAGATCTGCAGAAGATTAGAGAGGAGCAGCACAAGGTCACTGTTGATGTCGTTTGTTTTTTTTCCACAGCTTGGGGTATTTCTGGAAACCTTTAAATAGAGGCCTCACTCAAAATAGATGTTTCTTTGAGGCGCTGGCAGAGAGAGAAGGCAGGGCCACTCGCACTCTGAAAGCTAAAGGAATAGTCAGCATGTTTCATAGGAAAGGATATGAATGAGAGAAGGCTATTAAGCCTGTCTAGTTTATTAGGTTGCTACCAGCTAATTGATCTGGAGGTCTCATCCAGATGTTTCTGGAAAAAAGCCAGGTTATAGGCATTCTACAAGATGGTCAGGCAGCCTGTTCCACACTCCTGCTGCCCTTTGCGTAAATTGGTGCCTCCTGACCTGACTGAAGGACCTCATCCAGATGTTTCTTGAAAGAAGCTGGGGTATGAACTTCAGCATAGCTTGTTCCGCACTCCTGTTCCCAGGTAGTCATCTGTATTCAAGAGGAGAAAGATGTACTGTAGCTCATGTACCCTGTCAGAGTTAGTCAGAGTCCTGCTCACCCCAGGAATGTACCTGGCTGCTCTTTATTGGATCAATTCCAAAATGGCAACTTCCTCGTTATAAAGTTGCAGTTTCACCACAAGTTAGATAAAAGGAAACGCTACAAATGACAGGAGGGAATTCAGTCATCTTGCTTGCTAGCCAGTCCTTGAA